ATAGTTGGTCTGACAGTTTCTGCAGTACTTCTTCTTCTTGTTGCAGCTGCTGTTGGTATCCTGATCTACAGAGGCTGTAATCTGAATCCTGCTGATCCACATGTAGCAGAGCATCTTCAGCATGAATGTGAGTCAGATGAACAAACACAAAGAAAGATAAATAAATCATGGTGAACATCCAGCAGACGCTGTAGAAAGCTGGACAACAGAACATGTTCAACTATGAAAACTCGACTTTAAAACATTTAAATAGCTGCTGGATGTTCAGAAGTTCATTAATTAAATCCAACATGACTAAAAACTCAAATGTCAAAGCAAATAAACAAAATATTTAAAGTCAATCATTCTGATCATAATTGTACTTTGACCTTTAACCTCTCTGCTCTGTGTTGTTTCCTCTTTCAGACAAAACCATCACAGCTGAGTCTGGAGAGGACGTCACTCTGACATGTCGAGCTCCAAACAAGAAGATCATAGTTATAGTTTGGAGCAGAGAAGACCTGAAAGATGAATATGTGCTTTTTTACGAAAACGGACAGTTTGTTCCAGAGTACCAGCATCCATCTTTTAAGAACCGGGTGGATCTGCAGGACAGGCAGATGAAGGATGGAGACGTCTCTTTGATTCTGAAGGATGTGAACACTGCTGATAGTGGAACATACGAGTGTCGTCTTGTTAGTGGAACAAAGCGCAGGAGGAGAGGCATCAGCACGGAACCAATCAGCATCATCTACCTTTGTGTTATTCCTCCAGGTGAGTGAGTAGAGTTGAGTGTGTGTGTGATCAGAGGTGAAGCTGCTTCCTGGTTGTTGATGTTTGTTGTATATGTGACCAAGTGGTCGGCGGGGTTATGAACATGACAGCGCTGTAGCTGTCATATAATCGGCTCTTGCTGATCAGTCCGTCGCAGTATGGCCGCATTTACTGCTGTTTTGAGCTAAATGCAAGGGAGGAAATAATCCAACAAAACACCGGCTTAGCTTTATACGGGCTAGCGCCACCCTGCAATCAATGTGCAGGTGGGTTCCCAATTAA